GAATTGTGGGTTATGGAAAGTCTCCAAGTAGCGTTGCACGGCCAAAGATGCAGATGCTGTTTTCCCAGCTGGTTTGTTGTGCATGACGTCCGAGGTTCAGCCTAATCTTCCAGCAACGTGCAATATACGTTCCGGCCACTCGATATGAACTCCGCACCAGTATTCGACGATCACAGGTTCTCGGTGGTTGCGACCCAGGTGGGCGGCAGTTTTCCAGGGCTTAGCGAATCAGGTGCGCTGTCATATACTGCGACCGGGTATAACACATTGAGCCGCAATCATCGTGACAGCGTGACCTCACAACACGGCCCAGGGGCACCAAACGCGCAGTTCAGTGGACATGCTTTGCTGGTACCGAGTCTGCATCACTCTGCTTGAAACCGAGAGTGAGATACGTGGCTCCGGAAGCATAGATTGGTTGCATACCTGGGTACACTTCAGAGTCTTTAGGAAGTTCAAAGACTTGGGCAATTCGTATGTTTTCACCTACGTAACGTATTCCGACATGTATCGCAAGTGAGAAGCATCTATCTAGTAAGTAGGGAGATGGGTTGCGATGGTGTTTGGAGGTTGGACACCTCCCAAAGTGGGCAGGAAGGGTCCAAAGGCCTAGACCTCAAGAAGGCTAGCGTATCCCCCCGCACCTCGAGACATTGCCCGGGCGAAGTCTAGGTACCTAGGTACCTGATGCTAGGTCATCACTTTGAACTATTCTCCGTCTTTACAAGCCTCTTTCCGTTCAGGTTTACTTCTAATTAAGATTGTTCCATGGTGTAGGCATATCGCCTGGTATGTGGTATATTGCCCAACTCCGAAATGTCTATATCTAAACCTACGCCGAGTACCCAGTAGGCTCCTACAATGAAAAGTGGCTGCAGGTACTCTAAGAATGCCAAATAGACTTGGAAAACCAGAAGAACGTCTAGAAGAGTCCATGCCCATGACGAGCATCTAAGCGAATCAACTCTTCAGCAACATCTCTCGCATGATCTCGTGTGTCTTCAGCATACTTCCGAGCCACTGCTTCGTTCTCTTCTCTCGTCCGCCAATACCTCGGTCTTGCACTGGACCGTCTGATCTCATCGGGTCCTTCTTCAGAAGTATTCCTCCTCATGAAGGACCGATAGATGCGAGACTTGGGTGCGCTGCTAGCCGCCACAACCCCAGGGTGAGTAGCCTCTTTCAACCCATCTTCCACCTCCGCAGCCTCAAACGCACGTCTGACACTTCCCGCAGGTCGGCTGGTAAGTCTCACGAGACAAGTGTTGGCCCCACTACCCTCAGCACAGCTTCCTACGCCATGCGCTCTCCACCCCGTCTCGAACGGCGTCCTTCCCGTACCCAGATCCCGCCAACTCTGCACCACCAACCTGACCTGTCCGCCTGTAGCATGCGAGAAGTCTTGGCTCGTCACGCTCCAATCCGTCGCGCAAGTGGAGCAGTTCTGCGTGAACTGGTACTTCCAGCCTCGGCGGATGACGTTGTCGATGGCGGCCATGATACCTGTGTGGCCGTTTGGTGTATCGCGGTGGCCTGTGACGATATGTGGGAGTAGGGGCCAGAGCGACTTTAAAAGGTTGCGATTACGCGTCGTAAAGGCGGGCAGGACAATGGCATACGAACTATGCAACAAGAAGCGGCCGTTTACTATCCTAGCGGATACGGTGAGTTTGGTAGGAACGGGTGTCCTGGAGATGCGTGCCATGTCTTTCTTCTCATGGGTAAAAGCAGATAGCGGAATGCCGTGTTCGTCTCCCCGCGATGCGCGGTTGATGGCAAGTCGAACGTGATGAAAGCGTAGTTTGTAGCCGTCTCCAGCGTCCAGGTAGCTGTTGTAGTCGGCACAATCTCTTCTCTTTCTCGAGTATTGCTGGTTCTTTGGCCCGTCTTCCGCGGTCCAGGCATGGAATTTGTCACACCAGCCGCAGAACCAATGACCGGGAAAGGCGCGCTCTACTACCGCCTCGATAATCTTCCTCTTCTCAAATCGGTTTTTGCTTCCCTTGACATGGCGAGACAGAATTTCGGTGCCGAGAGCGTAGTAGATGTATCGCCCGGATAGGCAGAAGGCTGCTGCGGAGGCAGTGTCGAGATAGGTATTGACTTGTTGGATCAGCTCGAGTGGGAGAGTAAGTACTGGAGCTTTCGGTAACGGTGGGGAGGGTTTGATTGTAGCCAGGGAGTCTGTAATCTCGTACTCTTCAAAGGTAGAATCTATGCTCGTTCGAGAGCTTGCGGTATCGGATGCCGAGTCGATAGTGGAAGGACGTGATGAGTGTGAGGAGCCGAAGCTCATAGATCGACGAAAGATGTTCATGCTTGCGTTTTGATCTATCCCTTCACTACGCGTGTGGTCGTTATGAGGCTCTCGAATTCTGAGGCTGAGACCAATATAAGAGTACCACAAAGGGGCAACAGACGCTATAAGCCAACACTGCCAGCGTATAATTTAATAACAAGGACTAGTCAACAACACATCAAGAAAGGTACCGACATAGCCGTTGCAAGCTCGACGCCGTCTCGCGCGCGGCCACTGCATCCCCTTATCAAAGCGCCTGGCCTCCGGCCACCAATGCACGACATGTCATCCAGCCGCGGTTTCTAACGGGGCCTGACAGTGGCACGCAACGCACATGGCACCTCGAGTCCAGGCACATGCCTACCACTTTGCCGTTGTCAGGGTCCAGCAGACGTGTCCGGCGGTGTAGGTGAGACAGCCGTCATTCACCTGATGTGCTTGGCCTAACCGAGGTGGGGCTAGTTGCAACGTGTGTGGTGGGGTGACCCGGTGGACGCTGCTAAGCGCCCTGACTGCGCCGCCACTCTTGCCCTACAATCTTGGAACGCGTAAGATTTGGTGCCAGATGAGTCAGAGCGTAGGAGCACGTCGGGCGAGAGAATCTCATTGTTGTTCCTCCTTGTGGTGAAGAAGATTAATTTGCGAATAGAAAACGCTATGCTACGCGGAAAATAGTGGTAGATCTGACGTGCTTCGCTATCGTGCGATTCCGCCCGTCTGATGTACGCCAAAATGATAGATGTATATGGTACACGTGCGCTTCTAGTTCGAGAATGCGCAACCCTAGGTCATTTCATTACAACTTCTGGCTCTGTCATAAATCATCCCCTCCCCTCGTCCACAAAGCCTGGTGGGCCAAGCATGCGCCTCAGACGCGGTTTACTTGGGCAGCTCAGGGTTCAGCTTAAGCTGAGGTACTGGCGGACCAGTTCCAGCTCTCCGCCTCCGCTCGCGCTCGTTGAAACCAACAGGCTGGTCTAGTTGTGCGGTCTTCTTGAATTTGCCACCCAGACTGCGCATCCAGTCCTCGCCCTCGCCGGCATCAGCACCGAGCCAGTACTTGGGCGCACCGCTGAGCATGACGCGTCCGAGTTGCCCCTTCCAGCCGCTTCCCTCTTCTTTTCCTTCTGCGAACGGGTTCTCGGCGAGGTCGTTTGCGGACGTCTGCATGTTGTTCGAGTTGTACCATGCGGCGGAGGAGGCGTTTGCGGCGATGTGTTGGCGGAGGCACTGGCGCGCGAAAGCCAGCATAATAAAGACGAAGTAGACGCGAAGAGCCCAGAAGCCAGAGATGAGGGAGATGCTCATAATGCTTCCGCTTTGGAAGACGGCGTTGCCTAGCCCCGCGCCAGCATCTGCGCCTTGTCCGACTGCTACGGCGTTCTGACCAGATTTCAGGCCGTCGGTGGGCTCCGCGATAATATCGACCTGTGTGACGTTGTGCTTGGGGCTGGTGAAACCCGCGTTGTCCTTCATGCCCGGCGATAGTCCGGCGTTCTCATCTGGGTGCGCGGCGAGCGTGTAGAACCACGCGATGCCGAAGAAGGCTGTGTATAACGCGTTGATGACCGAGTCGAGCGCATACAGGTGCGCCAGCAATACCGACTCAAAGGGACTTTGTAACCGGATGTGCTTGTACAGGAATGTGGTAGCGAGGAGTGCGGCGGTCGAGTAGAGGTACATGGACAGCTGGAAGCCATCAATCTTCGCGCCGGTAAGAAGCGCAAGGAGGCCGTAGACTCCCGACGCCTTGTTTATGACTTGGAGGTAAGTGATGATCTCGGCCCCCGTCCGAAGAGACATCTTCTGGAGGAACGTCTGCGCGCGGGTCAGTCCTGCCCATTTTAAGGTTTAGATTCACTTACCGTGGGACGTGGGATATCGAGGATATTCATCGTGGCTATTCTAGGGAGATGACGATGGGAGTGAAAGAGTTTGGGTGACGATGTTCGTTGTTGCAAGGCGCAAGCACTGCGGAAGGCCCGGGAGATTTAGCGCCCCTTTCAGTACATGCGGGTCGTGGTCGTGCAATCCCTTCATCCATGGATATACTTTGTACCATGATTCGCGCAGACTTCGCTCACACTGGATTCAATTCATTTGCGTTAGAATTCCATATCTCCTTTAGGTTTCATTGTTGCAGGTGTTGCGCCTACTATTTCGAGTCTCGCCGAGTCTTGCGCCAGCTATGACGCATCCGCCCAAACATCACGCGGCGCGTCTCCCATGCTTACTATCCCAGTCCAATATACCCACTTCCCCCCAAGTTCCAGTCTTCAGCAAACCCACGTGTATGCTGCTATCAACTACACATTCCGAGGTCCTTAAAGATGGCTTAGGAACTTCAAAAACATGAGTTCGCCCTGGTAAGTCTCTCAAGAGACAGGGTGACGAACCAGCGGATCTTGAATTCCAACTCTGGATTGTTAGTACAATGATGAAGCGCACAAAGACGTGCAACGTACTCTTGATACGACTACAGAGAGTGTGCTTCTTCGTAGGACTTGTTGTAGCGACTTCCTAGCTTCCACCTTGGTACGATGACGTAGCTTAACATTCAGCCCTCACATCTCACAGCACGTTTCTGTCACACAACATTGCATACTGTCAACCGTGGAATGCACTATGAATTGAATCCCTTTCAGGTCTGTACTCAACACTGACCTTTATATATACATAAATTTTGTCGATCAGCCCCAACATGGTAGACTACCAACCTCCAGCGCCCGCGCTACAGGAGCAGGATCTTAAGGGCAAAGTTGCCATTGTCACGTAAGACATCACTTTCTTCACCGATTCCGTCAATACCACTTCGAAGGGATCAAATCCTTGACACCTTTTATTTCTTTCATGAACACTCCATGTCACATCAGGCGTTCTGTCGACTTTTCACTTCAGCATGCACCCCAAGAAAACCCCCAGCCTACCTTTTCCACAAGATCTAACAACCCCCAAGCGGCGCATCAAAAGGCATAGGCCGCGCTATATCCCTCTCCCTCGCAACCCGCGGCTGTTCCATCCTAGGAACCTATTCATCCCCCCAATCCGCCCACATCTTCGACACTCTCTCCAGCACAGTCCGCAACCTCTACGCTGCCACCAAAAGCAAACCCCCAACTATGCGAGGCGAGGCCGCTGATATAACGTCTTTATCCTCTGTCGACACTCTCCTCACAGCGCTAGATTATCATTTTTCTGGCGTACAACCCAGCATACTCGTCTTCAATGCCTCACACAATACACGCCCCAGAGTAGGCAGCGCAAGCGAAGATGATATCAACGATTCTTTGACGGGGAATTTGCACTGGCCGATCATGCTCATGGAGAAACTGGTTCAACAAGGACTCTTCACGCCAAATAGCCGCGTCGTAGTCATTTCTTCCGACCGCGTACGGGACCCATCTCCCGGATCCGGATTGTTCAACGCGACCCGTACAGCCATGGAGTCGCTGGTACGGTCGTGGGCCGTTGAGTTGCCGCATAGCTTTCCAGGCACAACGGTAAATGCCGTGTCTGTTGGACTGACGGATACACCTGGACTGCGCGCCTTTCCTGCAGAAGCCGTACAGGCGTTGAAGGAGCAGCGGTTGCCCAAGGTCAAGGTTGTTGAGGGAGGGAGAATGGGCCAGGCGGAGGATGTGGCTGATGTTGTGGGGTTTCTGGTTAGTGAGAAGAGTAGGTGGGTTACTGGGAGTGTGATTGCGGCGAATGGAGGGGCTGAGTGGGTTGGTGGGAGTTCGTAGATGTTTTCGAGCACTGGAAGCTTCGTTTTCCGTTCTGTATTTCAAGACATGTGTGAGAATATGTGATACATAGAGAAGAATGATGGGTACTAGTTCACACTCTGCATTTGGAGTACAAATCATAACAGTCGGCCTTCTTCGTGCTGTCGGTCGCCCGTCCAACAAAGCGGGCCTCGATTCGTTGGTATAGTACAGGTCTAACTCCTTGACGTTTCGTCGTAAGTCCGCAAGCCGGGCTGTATGATGTCCTTGGCTGCTATATTACAACAGACATCAGGTATGTAGGAGGATATATACAACTCTACCCCAAATCTGCAAATTTTTGATACATGCATTCATACAACGCTCGTCTAATTAACGGAACGTACGGCTTCGCTAGAGTCGGCCGCAAACTGTGCTCGGCTTTTCAGAAGGTCGTTGACTTCGTCTGAAAGCTTCGCAGTTCGCTCCTGGTGTTCGGCTGCAAGCGAATCCAGCTTGGTGACTGGTAGATCATCAGGGTATTCGTTTACATCGTCGGTGGTAGCCGGCTCGTCGGAAGCCAATCGCGGATCGGTGAGAATGTCCTTCGCTTCCTCTGGCATGCCCGGCGGTACAGAAATGTGACGCTTCATAGCCGCAACCTGGGGGCCTTCGACTTCATCGGTGGCCTCAGGCTCTGATACCATCGATCTTCTTGCTTGTTTTCTGGTCGTCTTCATCCGCTTCCTCGCTTGTTCGATGAATGAGAAGTCGTTCAGCGTTTTCTCGATCTGATCCTCAACAAGTTTCTTTGTGTGGTTGGCAAGAGCTCTGGTGGTGAAGACGTTTGGGAACCGGTAACTCAGCCATAGATAGCACACCAGCATCTTGTGCAGTTCCTCCAGATCGTGGAGATACTTGCGTTCAGCAGACGAGGGCCGGTCCATGACGCTGAGTGGCAGGGTGTCAAGATCTAATAGGCTACCCGACTTGCCTTCAGCAATGCATTCAGCGAGGTGGCGCAGAAACGCTTTCTGGGACGGTTGGCGCATGTTGATGGGAGCGGCACATAACATGATTCGGTCTTGAATGCTGAGGTTTTTGACCATGTGAATGGCGTCAGCAATCGCCAGTTGGTCTTTTAGTGCACAGAGATGGAATCGAGGGTGTAACTCAGAGATCTCATGTAGACGTAGCATAATGTATCCGAAAGGTGTTCCCGGGGGGAAGTAGTTGGCGAACCGCTCAACGATAAGCGACGGCGGGAAGAGGCCGGCTGTGCTGATGTGTTCGGGCTCACGCTTCATGCCCAATTTCAAGGCCGCGTGGTCGACTTGGTCGAGTGTAGTGACCCATCCTATAGTCTTCTCTTCAGGTTTCTTTGCCTCGACAGTATCGGGTTGCTTGTCGTCTAGGCCAATGGCGGGGTCAGCGGCGCCGTCAACAATCGAAGCCTGTTCGGAGTCTGTAGTGACTGCTTGCTGAGCAGTTTTGTAGCGCCCGGCACGGCCGGCGATTTGTTTGATCTCGGAGATCTGCAGGGGCACGTAGTTCAGGCCGTTACTCTTGATAGTAGATTCGAAAATGACACGCTTGATAGCACTACATTGGTTAGCATCCGGGTATCGAAATTCAACATGACACACTGCTTACAGGTTGAGACCCATGCCGATGGCATCACTCGCCACGAGGTAGTCGTAGTCATTGTCTGGGTCGTTGAATAAGCGGGCTTGTTGAGCTCTTGTCTCAGGTGGCAAGCCTCCATATACGATAGCGCACTTCTTGCCTGTCTTCTTCTCCACCTCGCGTCGCAGCGCATGGATACCGAGGACGGTGAAAGCAACGATGCAATCACCTTTCTCAAGGAGTGTGAGGTTGCCTCCCAGACTCTTCGGCTGGATTTGAAGTGGCGTCAGACGCTCGTACTCGTGTACGTGCACTTTATCGCCAACAAGAGCGCAAAGCTCGCGCATCAGTGGTACTGTGCGTGCTTCTCCACAGAGATGGATTTCTTTGGCCTGCAGACCCATGAAAGCCTGTGTCCATGCCCAGCCTCGTTCCTGGTGGTTGATCATCTGTATCTCGTCGATGACAGCCACATCAAATCGAGTATTGAGCGGGGCCATTTCCACAGTACAACTGTACATGTTGGCGTGTGTGTCCTCAGGCAAGCGCTGCTCTTCACCCGTAACCAGAGCGCAGGGCTTGCCCTTTGCATTCAGGCGCGTGTAGACCTCATGGGCGAGGAGCCGCAGCGGACCGAGGTAGATGCCCGAGTTGACTTCCTCCAGACGCTTCAGGGCATGGTACGTCTTGCCAGAGTTGGTCGGCCCAACGTGCATGTGTACTGTGCGCGTAATCTCTCGTGTCGCTGGATACCATTCGGCTGGGTAGCGCAGGTCCGCCACCTCCTTCTGGTTCTCTGCCTCGGCCGTCGTGAAGCGGCCGCCACATGCTTGCGCATAGAACAGATATCGTAGCCTCTTCTCAAGTGTGTTCTTTCTCCGCTGGGCCTCCTGCACCAACGTGACCAACTCACGCGGGGCCTGTTTGATCCATAGCGTGATGGACCGCTCGAAGGTAGTCCATTCCTTGTCGAAGTCTTCGCGGCTTATCTGAAGTCTGTCTAGAAATTCTGGCGTGGCGAATTCCTTGTGCAGGGTGTCTAGTTTGTCGCGGACTATGCCTATGGGTATTGACGACTTGGAAGATCTGGAATCGCCTCCTTTTGCAAGTTTACCCTGCTGGAGAGGATTGAAATGCGTCGTCTTCGAGGGCTTGGCTGGAGCGGAACGGTGTGCGGCTTGGATTCGGGGCAGGAGGTTTTGGGTTCGCGATCGAGAGCGGGCGGCGAACGAGCAGATGAGACATAGCGAACTCCGTCGCGCCGGCAGCAGAGGCATGCCAATGGTGGGTATCATGCGGGAGAGGAAAGAAGAAAAGACAGAATCCAAAGCGCCAGGCGCCTGTACAAACGAAGGACGACAGGAATGTTCAAGTCGACGACGTAATGCCGAATAAAAAGTTGCCAAGCATCTACCACCGTAGTACCGTAGGGACCTCCGGCGGCGCCTGCCCGCCGCAGCTCGCGACGCAACTCTAGCTGAGACGCGCCTTCCTCACCACCGCCGCGACAGCCCAGCACCACGTGTGCCTCGCCCCGACAGAGCTGGCCCACACACGCCCTCGTCTCTGCATCACGTTACCGCTGCCGCTTCCACCGCCTCGCCTTTTCCCAGCGGCATTCGCTGCGATACCCCGCCAACATGGCTTCCATGATCGATATCCAGCGCGACCGTAAAGACACACCTCGAAACGCCTGAGGAACACGTGCTGATAAGCCACACAGTCATTCTCAACTCGATCAAGCAGACCACGCGCGGCGACGTATGAAGCTCCCCCCAATGCGCCCGCACTCCGCTAACGGCTACCGCGCAGTGGAAGATACTCATTGTGGACGAGGATAGCCAGAAGCTCATTAACAACGTGGTCAAGGAAGATGACATCCTCAATCTCAACATCACAAGTACGCGACTCCGCCCGCTCCCAAGACGCCAGATCCTAACCTCGCAGACATCGAGCGCATCGAGGACCGGCGGCAGACGATCCGCGACATGGACGCCGTGTACATCATCACGCCCAAGCCACACATTGTCGACTGCATGATGGCCGAGTTCGACCAGCGCAGGTACCGCGGCTTTTTTCTGATATGGACAACTCTGCTGCCACCACACCTCAAGGAGCGCATAGACCGGTCGCAGATGGCGCGCGAGCAGATTCGGAGCTTCCGCACAGTGCACCTCGACTTCCACCCCCAGGAGTCGCACCTCGTCACCTTCAAAGACCCATGGAGCTTCCCCATCCTCTACCACCCCGAGTGCAACAACCTCGTAGTGCGCCACATGGAGGACATTGCGGAAAGAGTAGGTAGTCTACCTCTCACGGCAAGCTTCTGCTGACAGCCCTAGATCACCGGAATCTGCGTCGCACTCGGCGAATACCCCATCATCCGATACTACCGACCACGAGCTCCAACCCACGAGGCCAGTGTCTTGTGCTCACACCTCGCCCGCTTCGTCCAAGACAAGCTCGACATGTACGCGCAGTTCAACCAAGACTTCCCCCCGCAATCGAACCGACCCCGCGGTGCCCTCTATATCACTGATCGATCCATGGACCTCATGGCCCCCTTCCTCCACGAGTTCACATACCAAGCAATGGCCATGGATCTGTTGCCTATACAAGACAGCGACAAGGTGACCTACCGCACCATTGTCAACGAAGAGGACCCCGAGGCGGAGGAGAAAGACATGGAGATATCCGACAAGGACAAGATATGGGTGGAAAACCGCCATCGGCACATGAAGGACACTCTCGACAAGCTGATCAGCGACTTCCAGAAGTTCATTGCCGACAACCCCCATTTCACAAATCAAGACGCCCAGAACGCTGCTGGCATGAATGGACTGAATGCAATCAAGGATATGATCGCTGGTTTGCCCCAATTCCAGGAGATGAAGGAAGCCTACTCGCTACACCTCACCATGGCGCAGAAGTGCATGGAGATCTTCCAGAAGCACAAGCTCCCGGATCTGGCTTCAGTGGAACAGGTGAGTACCATCAGAGCTGGGTCACGGCTGTCGCTAACCTTTCCAGTGCCTTGCTACCGGTCTTGACGAAGACTACCGTAAGCCCAAGAACATGACTGACCAGATTGTGCGCACATTGGACGACGAAGAGATCACGCCAGCTGACCGGCTACGCCTTATCGCGCTCTACGTAATCTTTAAGAACGGAATTCTACCAGCCGACCTCCAAAAGCTCCTCTTCCACGCACAACTGCCACCACCGGACGGTGACGTTATTCGTAACCTTGATCTTCTTGGTGCGCGAGTCGCCAGGCAACTGAAAGAGAAAAGAGATGCACAGCCACCACTCTTCCCACCGAAAGCGGCCCCACCTCCAAATACTGAGGACTACGGTCTATCAAGGTTCAACCCGGCTCTCCAGGACATGTTAGAGGAGCACATCCGCGGCAGCTTACCCCAGGACGTCTTTCCCTTCACTAAGATGTCACCTGATGATGTCGCCAGCATGGCACAGGAAAATACTGCGCCTGCTTCCCTCCGCTCCGCAAAACCGACATGGGCTAAATCGCGACTTGCGAGTGCGGAGCCCCGTCAACGCGTGATTGTATTTGTCGCTGGTGGTGCAACCTACTCCGAGGCCCGCGCCTGCTACGATGTGTCGAACAAGACCTCGAGAGACGTCTTCCTCGTCACCTCACACATGATGAAGCCGCAGCTCTTCCTCCGCCAAGTCGGCGATCTCAGTCAAAACCGCCGAAGTCTGCGTTTACCCATCGACCAACCGCAGCCTATAGCCCCAGCACATCTATTCGAGAAGCCTGAGCCTCCGAAGCCAGCACCACCGCCTGCTGGTACAAAGCCCCCCATGGCCGGGGGTCTGCCGTCCGGACCCAGAGTCGCTGGCCCGAAACCCCCTATAGCAGCCATGGGTGCCATCAACCTCAATTCCAACCCGCAAAAACACAGTCCTTCACCGTCGCAGAGCAGTACCACGAAGCCCGGCAAAGAAGAGAAAGAAGGCAAAGAGAAGAAGAAGAAGAAGTTGCATCTGTTTTCTTCAAAGCATTAGTGAGGCTTGTTAACATTTTCCTGCTAGGGCGCTGCATACCTTTCTGGCGTTGTTCTGCTTTGTTCACAGCGAGGAGTGATTCTTGCTTCATTTGCAATATTTGCGAGCTAACTTGCATGGCATGGCGTTGGATGGCGTCTGAGAATCTCATCTGGCGATTGCCCAAGGTATACAGCTAGAGACAAGTATTTGGGATTTTGCCGTTGGGAAATAGACGTAAGGCTGGTTGCCTCTACGATATGAAACAAGTTTATAAAAATTACACATCATATCATCGCTTTAGCCTTGCTGTCTTTCTGACTGATCAGAACGTGCCACATCTCTCCAAGCCACGTACCCGACGTTCCTTCTTCCTCGGTATCGGACAGCTCAGGGTCACACTCCTCGCACTCCTCGCACTCCTCGCACTCCTTACTCTCATCTCCCCCAATCCCTCTTTCCCCTCCGACTAGTACGCCCATTTAGTCGAGTAGTCCCTCGGACTAACAACAAGCCCCTTCCCTTTACTCGCACCCCTATACACAGCCTCCAATATATCAATCAGCTCCTGCTTCGTCCCAATCGGAAAGTTGATCTTGTTATTATTGCCCGTGCCAAAGTCAACCTGCATATGCTTGTTCCGCCAGAAGAACATGACGGTGCAGGGATCGTAGATTTCGTACATGGCGTTGAAGTCGGGGACTTGCTGGTGGGAGTGGGGCTGTTAGCGAGGTTTGGAGATGGTGGGATGGGTGGGGAGGGGAGGGGAGAAGGAATGGAATGGAGGGAGGGAAGGAAAGTACCTTGTTGTCGACTACATAGATGACGACCCAGTCTTTGACTGCGTCTACGATCTTGTATAGCATCTCGTCCATCTCCATGCATTCGGGGGTGTAGTCGGCGCCGAAACGGAGGCAGACTATGCGGGCTTCTTCGCTGAGCTGGGGGGTGTTAGTTTGGGCGTAGTGGAGGGTTGCATTTGACAAAATGGGTCTGGTGGAGTTGATGAGTGTAGTGAACGTACAATGGCTTGATCAACGTGCCATGCTGAGGGCAGGTGCTGCAGCATTACTGAGCCCATGGTGACGAAATTCAATTGACTGTGTTTCTCGGAGATGTATGAGAAAGCAGATTAGATAGGATATCGAAGACGTTGTTGTGCTAGACAGGTGAGAGAGAAGCTGAGGAAAGTACGATCTAATACACCCCATCACAAGCCCCATCTCCCTCCATTTGCACCTTCCAAACCTCGTTTGCTCTCAGCTGCAGCCATCCCCACCTGCACCTGCCCAAAAAGCTCTTTCCATGAAAAACCCCAAATCATTCGCTAGAACAAGGAAACCACATGCCAGAACACATCAGTACAAACCAAAACAAACCCAATATCACACACAAACAGCCTAATCCCTCACCCCACCCGAATAATACTCCCCCACACTCCTCTCCGGCGCATAATATCCCGCACCCGTCCGCTGCTCCACATTCCCCGTCCGCTTCGCCACCATCTCCTGCACAAAAGCCTCGTAGCTCTCATACGGCCGCCCACCCTCCTGTGGATGTCTTGCGGCCCAAGCCAGGAACGCAGCTTTCTGTTCTTCAGCCGCCTGTTGCTGTTGTTCCAACGACAGTTTCTGCTTCTTCGCTTTCTTGCCTGTGATAACGGGCTGTGGGCGGCCGGTCACGGGGTTGCGACCGGCTGCTTCGCGCGCTTCAGCTAGGAGGTCGGCGCTCGTGGGTTCTGGATGTGTGTGCTGTTGGGTTCCGGTCACGGGATCACGGCCAGCTGCTTGACGTGCTTCGGCTAGGAATTCACTGTTTGGGACCGGGGTTTTGGGAGCGGTGTACTTTTTCTGGTATGGATTTGACTTTCCGCGCAGCTTGTTGATAGGGGAGAGTAGTGCTGATGTGATGGAGAGACCCGCCATGCTGCTGTTGACGGGGAGTAAGCCTTCACGCCTTTGCGACTTTCTTCTCTAGTTGCTGTGGGTATCGAATTCTGGACCGCAACGTCTCACAAGCTGCCCTCGTAGTCTCCAAATTGCCGATGCGGGTTGTTGATGAAACTTTACGAAGAGACGTAGTAGCCAAGCACTCTTTCTACTGCAGGTTGGCGTCGAATTTGAGATTATATCGCGCGTTCCCAACTCTTTTGAACAAAATTATCCGACACTACTCTATACTTGCTGTTGTCTGAGACAGGAACACAACCTGGTTGGAGCCTGGGAAGTGTCAGGGGTCTGGGCAGTAAGGCGTCCAAGCTAACCGCATTTAGTGCCAGCAATGAAGAACCGGTCAAGTGCCAATAAGTCCAGTCGTACCGATCAGGTGCGGATGTCAAAATTGAGTCAGGTGTGTATTTGGACAGCGAAAGCAACAAGCTACTGGAGATAACCTATAGCTATGCTCTCATCTTGCGCAAGGTACAAGAAGCTCCCGCCCTCCCGATACAGAAACCCGACCGGAAAGATCAGGGTGCAACGGTACATCCGAAGCAATACTGACTATCGGTGTACCGTACGAAGAATCGAACAAACGTGAAGGTCAAATGTATTAAGCGTGAGACCGCTGAAAAGAAAGCTGAATAGCAAAGACGCCCAAGACAAGCTGAACAGTCAGCCGACCAAATTACCACATTCTCCCCTTACCCTTACTGCCAGCTGCTGGACTGAGCGGTGGAAAAGCATCCTCGGCATCCTTTCGACTCTGCTCTTCAGCAAGACTCAGTTGCATAGCAAACTCCAAATCTGACATCTCGCTTCCGTTACTTGATCCAGCAGCAGCCTTGCCCTTCCTGGGCGTGCTCTTTGTGGAGCGGGACGGCGGAGACTTTTTGCTCTTGGCGTACTTGATCGGAATCTCGAACGCAGAAGGAGGTGTAGAGGCGGGTTCATAGCTGCCAGCTCCGGAGCTATCGTTGAGAGAAAGACGGATGGCTTCGGCGATGTCGGCATCCAGTTCGTCGTCGTCCTTGGTAACAGGCGATGAAGGTTGGCCTTGGACGCTCGCCTCTGGCGTTACAGGCTCGCTCTTAAGGGCACTGCTCTCGCGCTCGATGCGGCGAAGTTCGTCTGCCTCAGCGGCCTCTTGCGAAAGCATCGCAGCGTATGCTAGAGCCTCCTCCTCGCTTAGTAGCTCCGTGCCAAAACGGCCTGCCAAACGCTCGGCCTGCTTGTGACGCTCTTGTCTATCACGCTCCAACTCGAACTGTTCGTTGGCAATGTAGTTCTTCAGGTTGACTCTGCCTGTACCGGCGAAGCGCTCTGTGGTATTGTTACTTCCACGCTCGGCTCTTCGCAGCCTGCGTTTACTGCTTCTATGCTGATCGGCTGCAGATGAGCTGTAACTCCAGAATCGAAGCTGATTGCCAAGAGACACTGCACCGCGCAAGACGGTCGGATCGGGATCAAGACATACAGCACCAGCAGCAAACATGTTGATGCCGACTCCTTGAACGGAAGCTTGGGCCTGCACAAGCTGCCGACGAGCACGCGACGCATGTCGGGAGTGAAGCGTTGTTATGGGCGACATGCTCGAAGCCAGTGGATCCCATGCCTGTACCAAACCATCGTTTCCACCTGCTACGAGATAGAGTGAGGTAACAGCCACGCAAGAAATCTCTGGCGAGTCTGTGTAGATGATACGAAGAGGCTCAATGTTGTTTGTGTACTCCGACGAGCGCGACGTAGGCGCCCGGACATCCCAAAGCAGCACCACACCAGACTTGGTACCAGCAGCGAGAAACCTTGCGCGCTGTCCAGGAATGTCAGAGGGAGAGGCCGGCTGGCTCGCAACAGACATCGGAGAAGAGTAAGGCGAGGATGCAGTCGAGGCAGTCGAGAAACCAAGCGCGGGATCCTCAAACAAGGTCAAAGTCGCGAAGGTAGAGACGTCCAAAGAAGTTGTAGTGACCTGAGTGCTCTTGAATCCGCCGAATGTAAGCTTTGAGCATCTCCATTCTTCGAACAGAGCGGCCCGTTCTGGTGAACTTGTGGTCGAGATGTATGAAGAGCTGCGACCACGAGGAGGCTTTGTAGGATCCGCGCCAGGACCGCCGAATAAAGAAGTAGCTTGCGCAGGCTGAGGCGTGAAAATGCGACTTGAGACATTCGTACCCTTGTCTTTTTCGTCAATCTTACATCGGGTGAAGCGTTTAACATCGGCGACGTCTCCCTCTTCAAGCCCGCATTCGAAGACCACTACCGATTCCCCTGCATGATTTCCATCGTCTCCAGCAAAGTCAACCTCGAGCGTTCGTCGCATATCCCATCCAAGGCATGCTTTTCGGAAATGTTTTGGCTGCTTGCGAAGATATTCTTGGATCTCCCTTGTTTCGGCGATGATCTGATCCTTGCTCAAGCACATGCCATCCCATGAGGTTCGCGGCGAATAACTACCGTCGACATCGGCATCGCTGTATGGATCAGGCCTCGCAGTACGTCGGCTGGGCTCCACCAAGTTCCAGTAGACGGTGCGACCAGTGAGCCAGCCCAGATACTCGGAGTAGTGCTCAATGTCGCCTTTCGTGGCCTGGCTGCGAGTTGGAAATTTGGTGAGGTAGAAGATCTCGCCAAGTGCATTCAGAGCGACCGCCCAAATGCGGTTCTGAGCATAGCGCTTGGTTGAGTATTGTTCGTCGACGGCGATGGCAATGATAGGTACTCCTGGGCTGAGAACCCAGCGCGCAGTCAGCTCCCCACGCTGTACACGGGACGAGCGAAGACCATCTGTACCGATGCTACAGGCACTGACAACGCCAGCTGCAGATCCCATCATCATGCCAATCAAGCCATCCGAAAGCGTCGGGATCGTGTTTGACTTGGCGATCCAAACGCTGCAGATAGCACCGCCGTCGATGCCTAGCTTTGGTATACCAACTTCAGGCATAGCAAAGTCGGTGGGTTCAGCTATGAATCGACCACGCATCTCCTCAAGGGAGCGGTAATAACACGAGCCCTCTGGACAGCCCTGGCCATAGATCATACCGTATGGCTGCGATATGTCCATAACGTTGGGTCGCCCGACGACCTCTCCTGAGCCCAGACCCCACTCTGCGGTACCCGGAAAGCGTTCTGAGAATTGGCCATAGAAGTGAGGGTCACTCTGTCCCCAAGGATCCACCTTGCCCGTCATCGGATCGCTGCTGGTCACCATGCCGATATCGTCTGCACCATGGATGAAGCGCGGCATCTTCTTGTTCAAACCGGTTCCGAACGTGGCCTGCAAGTGGTTGATGATAGTATACGTTTTTGCATCGTAGGTAATCATCGGGGTGATGGTCTGCATCTGAGATGCGCGGGACGGTGTCGCAGGTACCTGTACAGGCTTGCCCCTGACCAAAGACCGCAATAGTCTCGTGCGTAGAATGTACTCGCTTCTCCACGATGCCAGCGCAGTGAGCCTGGTGAAGCGTCTCTTCTCCGATCGCACGACTGAGCCACTGCCCTCAAGGGCTGAACGAAAGGCGGCATCTTCGAGTGAGTGTGGGCCAGGGAAGTAGCGACCGAAGGCCACCTGCCAGGCGTGTGGAGTAGTGACTACATCATGAAAGCGGCGAGAGACAAGGGATACGGCGGCGAGGTCGTTCGGTGACAGGTGGGCGATAGCATGGATCAGAACCTCTACGCATCGTCAGCTCTTACTCGTGCATTCGCGTTCCGCCCGTTTTCGAGGCATTTGTACACACCATTAGGCAGGTTCGCGATGGGCGAGCTCTTATCGCTAGGCTTCTTGTTGCTCTTGACGATCTCGAAGAGGGGCCCGTCAGCAGGCTTTCGCGGTGAACACTTCAGCGCATTCTCGTATTGGGTTATCCTGTCCCTCGGGGGTGGCGAGGGAGACGCGACGCGCTTCAGTCCATCTGTTTCCACGGTCCCGACTGTACTCTCGGCCTCTGAACGCGTCGCATCGCGTGCGAACCCGCGGGGTTGTGGTCCAGACTCTCCCCGCAGCTCACCCGAGTGAGGCTGCAGAGAGACCTGGAAGTCAAGGCTGCGGCGCTGTCCATGCTGGGAGGTGGTGGCGGTGTCGAAAGAGGTTTGCTGGTACGAAACGTTTTGTGATGCGTTGATGGGCTCTGGCTGCATAAAATTTTGGGTCTGGTTCTTGGGTGAGGGCAGTCGACCGAGCTCGTTGGAAATGCTCAGTCAGAGGATGTAGGCGTGGGCGAAAATTGGGTAGTTTGGTAATGTTGGAGTGGAAGGGAGTTCGGGGGGTGCAGTTGATGACTCGGTTTGCGTTGCCAAGTCGGCGGTGATCGATATGACGATCGCCACTTAGGAAGCTACGAACGTGGGGGGAACAAATGATACTAACAGTTTGCAGCAGTGGGCCGACTATCACATGGCGTGTGGAAACGTCACCACTACCTAGGTACGGCCTAAGTACCTGAATGTAGCCGGTCTCGTTCCGATAAGTTCCGAAGCAACAGGTGCCTTGCCGTCCACATCAGTGTCAAAGTGAAAGTTGGCGATATCCTATGGTAATATAGATTCCTATGAAGTAGATTTTCGATCGATTCCTGTATAATGTGCTATCATGTACAGGATCATGCAAACAAATGTTCAACGCCAGCCCTATGCAGACCCCTAGATTCTCAAGGCACGAAAAGACGCGAGTATGCAGCCACATTAGTCCTGCAACACACACACGCCGTATAGTTCTTCGAAGCCAACCCCACCCGACAGTCGTCGCACAGGCTCAAGCACCCACATGGCCACACCAGTACTGTCCTTGGCGACATCTGGCAAACTACACATTGCGGTCCTTCTGAGCCCATACCTTCTGCACCCGTGTCCCAGCTTCCAGCTGTACTTGCACCTTGCGGCGCGGTTGCACTCCGACGACTGAGTATGAGATCTTCCAGAAGTTGCTCTTCTTCTTCGGGCGACATGTTGACGCCGCCGCCGCTCATCTTATAGCGTGACGT